GCTCAGAAGGGCAAGACAGTCATTCATGGCGCAACGGGCTGAATTTGAGGATATTCGCCGCATTGTTCCATATTGCTGCAGAACTGTGTTGTGCGCGGTGTCAGTCGGTTTCGAACAGAGGAGTCCAGAACTTATACTGTGTTCCTGAAATAAGATGCTACACCATGTCCCTGAAAGTTGTAAAATTTCCGTTTCAAATTCCGTTCATGTAGAAATTTCAAAATTTCGAAGACAGCTCCTATCGGTCCTATCACAGCAGAACTTCAAGCAGTTCCTGGTTACGTTGTGTGTGAACAAGTTCAAGTGCAGCATGCAAACATGCGTGCTTGCGCCACTATCAAAAAATTGTCGAATTTTATCGACTCGCAAGCGCGGACCGTAGAAAGCTCACTCACTGACCTCAGACATTCACTGACGCTGTTCTAGGAACTTGTGTTCCGATTTTATTCGTGCAATATTCTAAATATTGAATAAACTTGGTTTGTTTTGATGTGATTTTATTGGCAGAGAAGAGTCATGCAGTTGAGTGAGGTCATCACGCAGGCAACTCTGCACAGGTGCGAGGCAGAGGGCGAGCTACACGGATGTGCGGAATTTTGTTCAAAGGCCTCTCATCTCCCGTGAATCCAACCTTCCAAATTCTGCCGGCAAATGAGTCTGATGAAGCCTCAGACCAGATGTCGAGACCATGGCCACCCGAATTCTGCTGTCGGTTGAAAAAGTGAACTCGTCGGTCGACCGCCGAGTCGGTTTCGGTAAAGCCTTCACGGTTGCAACATGATTATCAGCGTTCCGATCGTCGTCGCACACTGGCCCCGCTCATTCACTACTTCCTACCCTTAATCGAATCGTTGGGAATGTTGCATTCGTCTGAAATGCCCTCTGTAAACCAGAAGCGCGTCGACTGCAGACCAAACACCGCACGTGACGAACGACCCCCACGTAAATCTGGTAACTGACAGGGTCAACCGTCCGTTGAGACAAATGCCGAGAGTGAACGTACGCACGGAGACACAGACGGCTCGCGCAAGGCGAGTGCGAATGCCGGCGCGGAGAGCGGTCAACGTCGGTCCAACGTCGGTCCAATGTCGGTCCAACGTAACGGTTGACCCTGGTAACGGATGGGTTCTAGCGATAGCTCAGCGTTGGTAAATAAGAGTTAGTAATTAGTGTCCCACTGAATGAAGATACAACTGCGACAGGACTATCAATCCCTGCAAGAAAACTGCACATTATGGAGACGCGCCGTCCCTTTGGTGTGGTGGCCTGCACTCGAGCGCGCATTCTAAGGTGTTTTCTAGGTAACAGAGGGCAGACGTGCGAATATCTAGACTCTTACATCTGATAAGTGATCTGTGTTAGAGTTTCAGCTTACACTCATTTTTTTATTCCGTAATGTGGGGTCTCTCGTCATCAAAGAAATGCACCCTTGTTTTACGTGTATCAGTCGTCAACTTGGGTTTCCATAAAGTACCCGATTCAAAGCGATAAAACCACTCACCATTCCGCCTATTTTCGGCATTTGTAGTATAGATGAATTCGCTTTGGTTTCATCAGAAGTTATCAGAAGTGAAGATGCCCGATCGTTCTTTTCTCGTTCGAATGTTTAGCAATTTCAGGCAGAAGGAAGTTTCAAAATGAAATGTACAGCCGACGCTAGTGGTTGGCAAGTATCGATTGCTGCTTGCCTGACAGATCAGAAGACACCGGTATGTTTTTTGCTATCACTATTCAGTAGCATGCAGAATCTGCTCTTAATGGTCAACAAACTCGAAACTGTTGGGGTGCAATACAAGTGAGGACGGGCACGCCGGCCGATTTTTTGAATACGGTAGGTGCAAGTTGTATGCACGTCACTCACTATGCGTTAGGAACTGGAATGTGTGCAGGGTCAACCGTCTGTTGGACAAAAGTCGGGGGGGTGGGGGGGGGTCGTATTTCGCGAGGTAGCGTCAATGTTACAGTAAGGGAAGGGATGTTTTTATGGAACGGAGAGCGGATTAGGTTGTAGGCTGGGATTTTGGAGTGTGAGTGTGAAAATTTTGCTGTTTCACACTCGATATACCCCCCGTGGGCGGAGTTGGTCTGTGTCGACTGGTCTCAGAATCAAATACTATAGAATCGCCCCCGGCAGGCGAGGGTGGTGGAGGATGGTCGTGAGGAGTTGGCCCTGGGGGGGGTCGTATCGAGGCCCTCCAGAGGGGGAGGGGAGGGGGTCGTAAAATTTTCGAAATTGGTCCAACGTGACGGTTGACCTTGAATGTGTGAGTTACTCCACTCCGTCCAAGGCCGATGTCATAGTTTGCGAATCGAGCAATTCGCTGGAGCTTTTTTGAAAGTGCCGGGACTCGACATCAAACGCTGTTCGAAAGTGGCGGGCTTCCTTTGAACGTTGGGTCCCGCCACTATTGAGTCGCTGGTACATAGTTCGACTCGCTGGTACATCGTTCGACTCGCTGGCGCAAAGTTCGATTCGCTGGTGCAACGCTCGATTCGCAAACTATGACGTCGGCCTTGGGAACTGGAATGTGTGAGTGACCATACTCCATCCAAGGGCAGCGGTCAACCGGAAGGTTTGGTGATTCAGCATTTTGTAGTGTTCTCTGGGCACTCTCGCATATGCACACTATTACAGCATCTCTGCTTTCTTTCCTTCCTTCAAAGGCTTAGTCCAGAAGATAAAGTATGTGCTTTTCTGTCTGGACTCTCACGCGCTGGTTGACACTCCCCCGTAAACGAGTTACTCCATAGCGTCTCTCCATAACATTGAGCACTAATCCCTACGTACATGCATTTCGCGCCTACCGTATTCGTAAAATCAGCGTGCCCGTCCCAGTTGTATTGCACTACTGCGGGAAATCATGTGTAGATAGTCATCAATCAACAACAAAGAAGTCTCATCAATCACTCTATTGAAATTGTTTCTCTATTTCTCCTGCGGGG